GCAAACCACCGTTGAATAAGTTTGATCCCAATCGTCACCTAGTTACTAGCCTTCATTATACTTCCACGTCTTACACTGTTTAGGGAGACAAACATCCGCGAACAACAAACAGGATTTCGACTAGGTCGCGGTTGTATCAACCAAATCTTCACTCTGCGTCTAGTCTTCGAGCTACGTCATACGTATCGTCGACCAACGGTTGTCGTGTTCCTTAACCTAAAATGAGCCTTCGACTCTGTTGATCGTGAATCACTTATGGGCTTTAGCAAAGGAATGCCGCAGAAGAATGTGAACATACTGCGTTCACTCTACCCACATACTTCTGGTAGCGTAAGGATCTACGGCGAGCTGAGTGGGTCGTCCGCAACTAGCAGCGATGTTCGTCAAGGGTGCCCTCTTTCGCCATTCCTGTTCAATTTCGTCATAGACGAAATACTGGAGAATACATTATCAGATCGGTCAACAAGCTACCGAGGCTAGGACCCTTCGGATATTTAGTGCAGTTAATCGGTGCCTACAAAACACGTAAAATTGATCCGATTTTCATCAACACACCGCGTTCTTTAGACCGAAACTCATCTTCACACTTCGATCCCCACTTATCAAGAGAATCAGTGTCTAAAGCTAGCGATACTGCTAGCGTCCAGATTGCGCAGTATCAAGGTTGAGTGCTCTCTCCTCGACTGAATTCCAGTAATTAATCAAAATACGCATTGTGCACCTCGGCAGTAGTAGGATTCCTCGACGTGAGGTAGGTAGTGGAAGGCAAAACCAAGGGGGGGGGTCGAACTACGATCTGGTCCGAGGGTAAGAAAACCCTGATTAGAGGACTCAGTCATATAGGTTGCACTACCTGATGTGCGCTACCAACAAAGCAGATGGAATCAATAGCTGGGTTTGGGAACAACCGGCTGCTCTCGCTACTCATTCGTGCTACTGGCCCAAAAAGTGTGTAAATTAAACAATTCGCGAAGTAGACAGCATAACAATATCTAGTCTTCATCGACGCTGGGAACGCTGCGCTGAGCACTTCGCATCGCAGTTCAGTCTCCAGTGTTTGATACCCTAAGTAGCTATATCGAGAATGCAAGTAATCGCCCACAAAAACGGAGATTCGAAAGGAACTCCAAGCCCTGGAACCCCACAAGGCATCAGTTCAGTTCAGTTCTTACAACCATTTCGTGCTCCGGATTTGGTTGCTGTTTTTTGGTTGCCCATTTGGAGACCCGGAAAGACGAATCTGTACCACTAAATGAGGAGAATCGATTGTCACACCCGTTCACACGAAGGGCTATCTCAATGCCTGCTCCAACTGAAGCTGCTAGCGTCCGTTTTATCACATAAACTAAGCCCATTTCGTGAGAGATGAAATCCGCGAAGCGCAGTTTGGGATTCCAGCAAGCCGCGGTTGCATAGATCGAGCCTTCATTCTTTGCCAGCTGCTGGAACACTGCTAAATATATACGCGACAAACAAATGCCGCATTTTCGGGCAACAAAGCAATCTTCGACTCCATTGATCACAGTGGCCTGTGGACTTGTTGGTTGGTGTTGAGCTTCTTCCCGGAGACATACCGATGATATTGCCCTACTTGGTAACAACGCACATACGATTCATAACGCGTTGAATCGCCTGGTAATTGAAGTTGCAAGTTATGGTATGTCCTCCGCACCCTCAAAATGCAAGGTATAGGTGCAAGACTGCCAGGAACCTGTTCCTGCTTTTTCGCTGGGTAGTGACACCCTGGAAATAGTGGAAAGCTTCAGCTATCTGGAGAGTTGCACAACAGCTGGTGGTGTGGGCGAGATCTCTCAACGTGTAATCAAATCAAATCAGTCAACGTTTGATAATCTGTGACATCTCTGATGCCAGGGAGACATCAGCAGCAATGAAAGAGCGTGTATTGCACAACAGCACGCGCTATGTCCCTCTACAGCTGTGAAAATCGGTCGTCTTTGACAAGTGTTGTCCGTGCAACAAGCCCCGCATGTAGTGGGAGCATCACGATTTCAGACAAAGTTTGCTAGGATCAGAGATTCTTTCACTAAGCGAAACCATTTCACTGCACTATCTGAGGTGGCTGGGGCACATCCTATGAATGCTCGAACATGTGCCCTACAGTGCGCTATTTGCTAATACAAACAGCGAGGTGAGCAGGACGTAGGGGGCTGAAGAGATTGTACTCGAATATGGATTCCGTCGGTGATTCCCGATTGGGGAACTAAAGATTCATATTGTCGTTGGCTGGAGACACTGGGGGATATGACATCGAACCGAAGTCGGTGACGTGAATGCACCTTTGCGTCTGATATCCCAAAAGTAAAAAACAAAAACGTCTAAATTCCGTGCAGTNAAAACGAATCGTTTTCTTCTGCTTCTGTATTTCTCTTTCAACCCATGGTTATTTCCGCGCCGTATCTGAAAATGCTGGTGTTAAATATAGATATAGATTGCTTCAGGCTGCTGGAAGGGACCTCAGGATTAGCGTGAAAGGCGGTCGAACACAGTGATATTTCTGTGTCATAAAGTGGCGCTCGATTTTCTCAGAAACTCAGTCTGTTGTATTTTGTATTTTTACCCTCTTACATTTAACTGAGCAACCAAACGAAAGGTATCGAGTACTCCAGTACGCAAACTTGCATACAATGATGACTTACTTGAACTCCAAGTTTCATTTTCACCTTTTGAAGGCTGAAATCTAAGAAGGCAATTTTTGCTTTCTTTATAGAGCGTGGCATTTGCTGACTAGCAACCGTACAATTGAGGGCGTATCCTTTAATTAACATGCTCTCAGACATTGATCGCCCGTGAGCTTTCAGCACATTGATTGATTTGATTGGATATACCGGTCCACGAAACCCGGTCATTTCGACTGCAGTCACCGCATCGACGACCATCTCCGCAAACATTTCGGCATCACTGAAAGACAAGATAAAGGCAAGTTTGGACACAACCTAGTGAGATAGCACTACTTATATATTTTGCCAATATGGATGACAATGTAAGACAAAGATTATGTTTAAAACAAAGGACAAAACGCCTTCGAAATCCTCAGTATGGTCGTGGGTGGGTGTCCAAGGTTGCGGATGGTCAACCCAACCGTGAACCTGGCGAAATGCTCCCATACGACCAAGCGTCGCAAATAGCCTCTGCTGAGGAAGTCCTACTCATTGCCTTTTCGTGGCGATGTTTTCGCACCAAAGTGAGAGGACAAAAAGCCGACATTCGGGGCTATAACCGGGTTGGTGGACCACTGGTAGTTCACCTAGGGGAGTTGGCCAAAAACCCCGATTCCAAACCAACCATGAGGAGGCGTATGAACCACACCCACCTTTCTGGTTGTGGCAACGGTCAACGGCTCGATTGGGCACCTTGGACGTTTGATCCCGTCCGAAAGGCGTATGATCCGAAGAACTGGACACCGGCTCCCAGTTGCAGTTTGCGTACACCACCCCGCTGCATTGCGGGTCAGGCTTTGGCTAGCCGAAGGCTCCAGTTGTGGATTCCCCAAGGAAATTCACCTGCCTTGGCCTGGGCAACCTGGTAGTATTCGGTTCACAAGCAGATCGTGTAACATTTTTCTTTTTATAAAGATCATTGTACCGCGATTTGTCTGGTACACAGTCTGAACTCAGACGTGTGAAATATATACAAAGGACAAAACAAACATGGAGCAACTTACAGGTTTATGAGTTTACTGGACATGGCTGTACGAGCTGCACTTATGAGGGCTGGTTTTCCCAACTTTTCCACGTCAGAAGTCAGATGTTCTTGGATATATTTACATGCCTCCCTGCATGCTAACCGGTACCCATTGATAATTGTTGTTGGATGAACGAAGCGGGATATCAGCTCATCTGCGCCCTTGAGTAGAGCAGCCGCTAGAATAACCACAGAAGTGGTGCCATCGCCAACTTCTTCGTCTTGTAATTGGGCCAATTGTACCAGAATCTTAGCAGCTGGATGTTCCACATCCAACAACTTCAAAATGGTGGCACCGTCGTTGGTAATAGTCACATCCCCAACGTCATCCACAAGCATCTTGTCCAATCCAACAGGTCCCAGACTAGACTTTACGATATTTGCGATTGAACACGCCGCAAGGACTGAATTTAAAAAAAGGTTAAAAATTTAGGAGTAAATTGATCCGTTATGCATAATCGTATTTGAAAATTGATTACCAATGAAACTGCCATTGGATCCATTGAAAAGAAAGCAACTGCAATTTCATTTCTTCCGTTTCAATTTGCTTATTGAGCAAAAAATGCAATCAAGTGTATGTATCCTAGGAAAAATCTACAAAAATTTGATCTTAATAAATAATACATCGCAACGTGCTGAGATCAGAGCTCTGTAAGGATATTTATTCTTTTGAAGAACTAAGTGTAAGCAAGCACCCGGCTTTAGACAACAATTAAATCAATTTATTACATGAAAACTTAACAGCATATAATGTCCTTACATTATCGTTTCTGAAGCGATGTGTATGCTTACTTACCACACCCGAGTGCGGTGATCGTCGCTTTATACCAAGTGACATAAAGAACAAGTGGGCCACAAAACATGTCGTGAATGAAGTATAACCGACCTGATAGCACATCAGCTTTATTAGAATAAAACCTATAACGTGGTGGTGGCGCAGAGGTTTAATCGCCGACACTGGCGTGCTTTGGACCCTGTGGTCCGAAGTTCGAGCCCAGCCACCGTCACTTTGGTGGTAGGCAGCTCTGCTGTCGTCCAGTTCAGTACAAGACCTAACCTAGTAGGGCCTAATGTGGTTCGCCAAGGCCCGGGGTTTAGGTTTCCAGTGAATACGACAGTGAACAAGACAAGAAGATACGCATTTACGACTAAAGCACACATCTCTCCACCACCAGTGTTTCCGATGCAATTGTGAGAATAGCCACAGTTGTACTGTTCACTAAAATACTCGGCCAAGATCAACTCGTTGTTCTTTAATTGGGACATCATCCACTTTGGTCGCCAGTGGTTTTACTGGCCAATATGTGACGACCTCCAGTGCTGTGTATTAGATGAAACAGGCTTTGACTATTCCACGATGTAGAGGTAACCTCCATCCCATTGGCTATTTTGGCTGAACAGTTTTTACCATTTTTCCCAATGCTTTTCCGGATTTAACGTTGTATTAGCCATCGGTTCCTATGTCGATCCTTGTAGATTGGGATCTTTCGATTTTGTTCCATCAAGATTACTGGCTCCTGAGGTTCAGTGTCGTCAGCGAACTTCTGGCCCGACCCTACTAGCAGTGTGCTGCCGAATGCGTAACTTCTGATCTGATCCCGCTGTTGATCTACTCCACTACCTCACGGTGGCATTATCTCCTGTCCCAGCTTCTGCTTATAACCTGCGCAAACAGATCCATCACGTAGACATCGTTTACCTGTTATTCCGACCCATAACATCCCATCATATTTGTTTGCCACTAGTCAAAGATAGTTACCAAATAGTGCTGTAAGTAGTTTACGACTAAATAATTTGCACATTCCGAAGCGTCGTCAGGGTCTCAATCTGGGAGTCTTTAACGTGAGGACTCTGATGCAAGTAGGCCAACAAGCGTGTCTTGCACGTAAAAGGAACTCTTCGGAAATCGCTGTTGCTTATCGGAGACGTGAATTCAGGATCCTAGTAGTATAAGCCACCTGAGTGCACTAGGTCTGTCCTCGAGGCTGTTTCTCCGCACAGCAAATGATGAAGCCTGTTCTTTCGATCAGTGGTGTTGGAATCGTACTAGCGGTGATAGTAGACAACTTTGCTGTCGTCTGGGTCAATACCATGTCTAATCTAGCGGGGCCTTATGCGGTTTGCCATTTCAAGTCCCGGGGCTCAGGCAGCTGGTTTCCATCACTGAACAGCAGGTCCACATTGTTCATTCCGCAAGGTTCATTGAAAATAAAATTCCAAAACCAGTCATCATCTCCGGAATTCAAAACTTTGTCTAAACAAAAGAACTGTTATCAGAATCAGTCTACAGTAACTAATAGGTCGTGCTACGAACTATGTTAAAACAGGTAACTGGTTGGTTACATGCGCGGCGAAATTGCCATGGACACATTGTGCAGACCCATGTATTTCATTTCACACCTTGATTTTTCCACCCATGTATTCCAGCCCGTGACTGAGACTTCGGTTCGCTTCTTACAAAAATTACTTTTGTACCATTTACCGCCGTAGTACACGCAAAGATCGTAGTCCCAGATGTCCCCAGATGTGAATCATCTTTGTACTCCTTTTAGCATGACTGTAAAGTGTTTGTATATTCCGTTTTGCAGGTCGCTGGAAGACCCACTCCGTGAAAAACCTGCAAGCTTAGCTATATTGCACATGTGCATTCATCGCATCTGTGGTGAGCCACACATTTGGTGCGACATTTCATGACGACGTTATTGATATCCGAACATCGAATTGCGTTACCCGGAATGAACCCGCCGTGTAGCACTGAATAGTGGCACCGACTGGCCCCGTCGTTTACATAAACATCTCGAAAGCAGCGGAAGCGGCTTAGCGCCATTTGTAGATACTCTCGTCGTATCTACTTACGTACCAATTGAAAACCGTGATGCACTTAAAAGGCTGAATCTTAGCTTCTTACATTAGTAGTGCCCATCTTTGATAATGGAGTTACACTATGAACGGTCAAACTTTACTCGTTTAATGGGGCAACCTACTGTGTCGACACAATCGCTATACTATCTGGCGATTAAATGAACGAATAGCCTCACGTGCTGGTTGGAAGCGAGAACACCATGTCAGCGCAAAGCTCTAGTGAATAAGTAACTTGAGCGGTCCGAATCGCGACAGACGCTTGTATATTCTATTCATAGATATTGAAAAACTCGGCAAACATAAATTTGAGCCCAGATAAAGCACTGAAGTGTCGAGCCTTGGATCAACTGAAAACATTTCTCAGCGGAGATGCAAACGTTCACTTGGGATGGAGTGCAAAATCTCAAATCAGTGAGCAAATGACGAAAACAACTCTTTACTGATCCGGGTGGCCCGTCCATGAGAAAAACGTAGCCAAGCTTTCAGATATGAAGAGCTAGGTTACTTGTTTGGCGGCGTTCGAACCCGGACAGGAAATACATGAATGTAATATGCAGTTACTCAAAATGGGATTCGGTTGGATGTATTCTGTGAACGGACGCATGGAAAGAAGCATCGCGGGCCATTCCACCAAGATAATATCGAATCAAAATGCAAACAGTGAGTGTTACCGATAGGCATGCTACAAATGTCACAGAAGGAATGGTAGCAGCCGTCTCAGCTTCAGAAAACATCCGTAAACCATGTTTACTGAAAAAGCGGCGTACAACCCTCATAACATGTTTGAAAACTTGGATAATGTATTTACAATACGCATTACTTACCATTCTGCTTTCTAACAGACTCTCCGCTAGTCCTCTCACCTCCAAGTAAGAGGGCACTGGTAGCGTTCGATGACATGCTGGGGACGCGCGCGATATTTGAATAAACCGCCGACTTTGCTGCTAGGTCAGTCAGTCAGTCAGTCAGTTTGCACAGGACAGGAGATGGCCACGGCCAATCGAG